CGGTTGAGCTCCCTAAAGTCACAACAAAGGCGGAGAGTGCCGTCTTTCTTGCGGACACACACCACAGGTGATGAGTAGGGGGACCGTGATGGTGTGATCCAGCCTTTGTTAAGCAGGTCTTGCAAATACTCTTTCACTTCGTTGTGCAGGGGTTTTGGGATGGACATGTAAGTCTTTTTCACAGGATTTGTGTCATGGAGGCTTATATGCATCCTCAGGGATGGTATGCAGCCGACATCGTCACTGTCATATGCAAACGCCTCACATTCCTCTCGCAACATCTTCCTCGCAGCCGCTCGCTGATTTTCATCCAGATGCTGGAGATCCACTGGTGGGTTCCATGACTTTGGTCTCTGTGGGTTCTCTCGTGTCTGTGTGTTACTCGGGTTGTGTGACTTTAGCTCCGTACCATTTTTGTTCTCTTGTGTCAGCTCATTTACTTTAGTCTGGATGCCAGCTGTGTATACAGTCTTTACTGGTTCAAGGTATCCAATCACTTTACGGCTCTCCAGATAAACGGTGTGGTCTGTGGTGTTAGTCACAGGGATGGGCACATATGGTACTTTTCTGTCTGGGATTTTCACCAGTACATCACTGAATATTATGCCCTCTGGTTGTGGGTCAGCTCCATCAGGTAGAAAGAGCATGTCTTGGCCCCGGGCATGTGAACTAACGTGTGCCCGTACATAAACTGTAGTGACTTGGTTCGCTGACAAAGGCACTCTTCTTACACCAGTCCTTACCACACCTGTCTCTGGGCCTTCACTGCTGTTCTGCACAAGCTTGACAACATTATGTGCAGTGCGTACAGTTATTTCAAATGCTTTACTCACATAGTGTGCTAGCTGTTTTCTTCCTCCTTTGGTCTTTACTTCTTCCTGGTTCACGATAGCTTCAATGACATTGTAGCCAATGATGGGATCACTGGCCACAGCCGGGTCACTGGATACCAATATTGGAACTTGCAGCTCACTGGTTGGGGACAAATCACTGCCTAGTCTGAAGCTGACTTCTATCCAACCAATGTAGGGAATGGGTGTGTCATTTGCAGCAAACACTGTGAGCGTCTCATTGTCTAACAGTTCTGAAACAGGTCTGACGACTGTGTGAGGGAGGTGGTTTTGCCGCCAGTTTTCATTTACTATGCTGGACTGTGCCCCTGAATCCCACAACACCTTAGCTGGGTGATTGTCCATAAAACAGTTCACAGTACATCTGTTTCCCACCAGGCTTACTAACCGTGACTTCCGTTGAGGGGGTAGATAGTGAACCTCAGTTATCGCTGATGGGACACCAGTTGCAGTTTCTTTGGAGGATGTTGGTGGTCTTGACTGTTCATTATGGGACCATGGGCTTTGGACTACTGTTGGTCCCGTCTCAGTAGTCCCTCCCCGTTTCCCGATGGCAGTCTCGATGCTCGGCATCCACGGGAGTAGTGGCCCTCTCGCCCACATTTGAAACAGTGCAGGCAGTTCTCTCCTTTCCCCTCTTCTTTGCACTTTTTACAGCCTTTTTCTCGTTGCTTTGGTGCCATGGGGCGGGGACTGGTTTCCATAACAGCCATAAACATTTGTTTCATCTCTTTACGTAGTTCTTCTATAATCTGCTGCGTGTCTGACTTAGTCTCTTTATTTTTCACTGTTGTCATGGCCACTGTAGCGGGGGATTCTCTGGGTTTGGAGGGGCTCTGAGCAGATGTCAGGGCTGTTTGGCATTCTGTTTGGAGCTCTTGGACCCTGGGAATCTTGGCTGCAGTGGACCTTTTCCGTTTCTCAAATCTTTCATTTTCTAGCTTTGAAGCTTCATTGACTTTCTCAATCAGTTCTTCATCTGTTATGGTTATGTCGTTTAGGGGGGGCAGTAGCTGATACTTGATAGAGTCACTGAGCAGCCCAGTTTCAATGGAGCGGAGGAATTTGCGCTGGATGGTGGCTCTGCTATACAGTTCATCTGTCTCCTCATTTGCCGCTTTCCATAACAACTTATCTTTAAGTTCAATGGCACGAAATACAAAGTTTAAAGCAGTTTCTTTGGGCTCTTGGGAGATATTGAGGAGCTGATGGTAAAGCTCAGTGGGGCTGTCTACCCTATAGTGTCCCTTTAATATGGTGAGCAGTTTGCTAAGTGTTAACCCACGTTTAATCTCCAACATGTCTCTTAGGGGTGTTCCTGGACTAATGGCCCTAATTACCGCTTCCACAATTTCAGTCTCCGAGTGCCCTTTTTCACTCCCATTCTCAATCTGGCGAATCAAGCTGAGATAGGATAGCTTGTCCTTCTGCCCATGCTCTCCAATCTGCCCACAGATTTTAAACTCCCTCTTCAGTGTTACCTCTTGAAGAGTTCGCGTTGCCTCTGGTCGGGCTCTGGGTGAGTAATGTGCAATATGTACTGGAGTAGCACATGCGGTGTTCTCAAGATCTTCCTTTTGCATAGACTCTATGCCTTGGGGTTCCCTTTCTGACTGACTCTCCCCTTTGCTTAGTCTCTGGATGTATACAGCAATGTCTTTATAAAACTGTTTCACTTGATCCTCTTCCTCACTTTTCTCCACATCATCAAACATGCCCTCTGCCAACCTGATGAGTGTCCTCTTGGTCTTGCTGTGAGACTCTGCGCTGTCCAGGCCGGAACATTTCAGTCGCCTGCAGACATCCACAAGATGCTCTCTCTCCAACTGCCACAAGGCTGCACTCACTTCGTCACGCAGAGGTTGCAGAGATTCCATTTCTTTTGGTTGAAGGTTCGTCTCTTGGGAAAGAAGGTGGTTGGTGATGGTGTTGACTCACTAGCGCCACCTCCTGGCTGGCTCGCCAAAATATGTTACACTGTTGAAATGATGGGCCAACTCATCTCCCGTGCAACATATTTATTTTTACAGAAAACTGTAAAAACAGAGAAATAAGGCAATCAGTTATCTTTGGCGCGCAGGCCGTACGCTGCCTCTTCATCACTGACACTACTTCTTCTACTGTAGCTGACATTACTTTATACAAGTAACTTATACAGTTTCACATTCACATGCACCACCTTTGTAAACTGGTTAAATTACACAAATACATTTTACTATGCACATGAACAACATAGTGAACTCATTACAGTTTTATCTTGTTTTTGCTACTGTTTTAATCTATTTATCAACCTGTCTTCTTAACTGTATTTAATAAACTAGATCTCTTTCAAATAAATGTTTTTCTTAACATATTTCTATAGCATTCACTCTTCATGAACTAAACATAAAGCAATTCACACTTTCTCTTATTGTGCAAAATATATATCTTGTGGCTTTAACCCAAAAATACACCTGCACCGAGCTCACAGAGTTTCGGTACAGTCTAACACTTTGATCGGCACAGGCTAACAACTGGACCAACTTGGAAATTAGCTCTTTAGCTTAACATTCGCCACAAACAAGACATTTATCATTAATCGCCACTGCTGTCTGTCACTTTTATAACATCTGTTTATATTATCAACCACCCAGCTTACCTGTAAAAACAGAAATAAGGCAATCAGTTATCTTTGGCGCGCGGGCCGTACGCTGCCTCTTCATCACTGACACTACTTCTTCTACTGTAGCGTCAGCTACCGATGCGTACAGGACCGAGCTCCTCTGCTGGCGGAACTTATATAACATTAAAACTGACATTGCAGTGGCCTTACTAAAAGAAAGTGTCTGAGTATAAAATAAAATGGGGGCTACTATTTTCATGTCTGTGTCTTTAACATAGTGCCACACACACACACACACACACACACACACACACACTATGTAACGTTTCAGCAAGAAAATACCGCCCCTCCCCCCCACAGTGACACCACCACCACTAGTCTGCACAGCTGACATGAGGCAGCATGGATCCATCCTTTCATGCTATTTATGCCAAATTCTGACCCGACCATCTGCATGTCAGAGCAGAAATCAAGACTCATCAGACCAGGCAACATTTATCCAATCTTCTCATGTCAAATTTTGAGAACTGTAGCTTCAATTTCCTGTTCTTAGCTGACCAAAACGCTCTTCTGCATTCTTTGGTTGCAACAAATGGTTGTATGAGCTACGGTTGCCTTCCTATCAGACATTTTTCTCTGACCGTTGACATCAATAAGGCAGTTTTTCCAAGAGAACTGCCTTTCACTGGATATTTTCTCATTTTTGTCACCGAAAAGGGTGTCTGTGTTACTTCTTGTCTTATATATATTGTCTCTGTTTTCCTCTGTCCTTTGTTAGTGTCTGTTCACCTACCCCTGTGTCTCCATATTCCCAGTGTTCAAGGTTTCCGAGTGTTTTCCCAGTTTAGGTTTTCATGGTTGGTTCTGTTTGCTACTCAGCCAGAATAAACAGCTCGCTCTTTTTAAAAGTAGGCTCCAGAATGGATGATGGCATGTTCGCATGTCTTTATGCAACACTGAGTGTGCTGAACTAAAGGTAGGCCTAGTTTCATTTTCATGGTCATTATTATCATGACAATGATTACGCCTTATTCTGATTATTTCTCCCTTTTGGAGATGTAACATTTACATGAGGGGTGTAGGAACATTTCCCCCTAAATATTTTTAGATAAATTTTTGTTGAAGTCACTGTTTTTGTCGTATTGATGATGCAGCTAGAATAAGTGCTTTTAAATAAAAGAATAACCATTCAAAGTGCTCAGTGGTGAAACTGTAACTCTTTCAGAGTTTGACAGCTGGACAAGTGATGCCGTATTTAAAGAAACATGAGATGAGTGCAGCATATTATCTGAACAGAGATCATTCAATGAGCAAGAATAAACACTGAAAGAGAAACACTTCACTGTTGATTATCATATGAAGTCTAATAAAAGCTGTTAATCTGTTAATATCCTGCTAATCTGCATACAGCAAATACAGAACATGCGACTTTAAAGCATCCAGCAAAGTGATAACTGTCCTCTGCCCACTAAGTAGTGACTCTACAAAAGATTATTTTCAATATCATCTTTATATTATATTTAGTTATTCTCCAGCGCAACAATGTAAGGAGCTCTGTGATTGGTTAGGAAAGGACAGACTGGCCACCTCGATTTTTCTTCACTGCACATTGATCCATAGCTTTGCTCTGTAAAGGCTAACAAAGTGCTTTTGCTTTACAAAGACATTCAGCGTCGGTATTCACTCTTTTAAAATGCCACTGAACACTGGAGTGAAATGGAGCCCTGATCCTCAGAGTTTTATTGTTGCTAACATTTCTTATAGATAGCACAGATAGTGCCCCACTGCAGTAATCACTCATGTCTAGATATTCCTGTTAAAAAGGAGTTTTTCCTCCCCACTGTAACATGGCAAACATAGCAAACGGATAATCCAGCTGAAGCTTCAGACAGCCGTCAGACAGTGAAACACTGCCATCTGCTGGACGCGAATAACAAAGACGCTGCTTTGACGGGTGAGGGAGTTTCAACAAGTCTGCAACGACTCAAGCATCAAACTACAGAACTATTCTAGCGGACATGGTGCTCTAATGACTGCTTCATTAACGCAGGTCAGAAAGGATCAAACATATCAATAAATCATAAAACACAAAACGTCTCTTATTGCCCAGGGCTCAGGAAGTGAGTGTGTTCCTTATAGCCCAACACGTTCTCACTCCCAACTCGTCAAACGTGTGACGCATGGTCAGGCTCCCTCTGCTTCACTTATGGACCATATGGACCACCAGGTAAGACCATTTAAACGGACAGCATTTATAGAATGACTATTAAAAGTCAGCGAGTGTCAGTAATGTTAATGTGGTTATGTTAGTAATACACCGAGTGCTAATATAACAGCTTTAAGATGCATTTGTAGATATTATTACGTGTTTTACCGTCTTTATGGTGCTAGCTTAAAGTTACGGTGTAAACGTTAGCTTATATTGGAGGAAAGCTGTTACTGTTTAAACGATGTTAGCACAGAAATATTAGCTTCTGTCATGACTGATGAAGTTACTAGTTAATAAAGTTTCCAGTAAAGTGTTTAATCGCAGCCACAGACTGACAGCAAATATCTCGATTAGCTTCAGTGCATCTGTAATAAATATGTGCAAGTTTCAGTGCTTCGTTTAAACTGTATGATACTTATACTGACCCAGGGTCAGTGTAAAATACAATCCTAGCTGTGTGAACAAAGCCTGGCTGCTTTAATCCTGCATGACAAACCTCAGGATGCAGGTTATTATTACTCTTTCCTGCTGGCACACCTGTCACACCTGAGAGTCAGCTAGAAACTCACAGTGACGTGGACATCATGCAAAGACTGCCAGACTCTGTAATACTGCAAATGATCAGTGACTCAGGTTATCACTAAACTTTAAACGGCACCTCTGTGTCTCTGTGTGCTGAACATCTAGGATTGAGTCAGGCTGCATTGACTGTGGGACTTTAATGTGTTAAAAGCAGGTTGAAGACGGCTCAGAAACATTTGAAGATTAAAATTTAGCATTATGGCTGCTGGTGGTTTGTAAAGCCTCTACTCAGCTGTATTTTTCTTACTAATTTATGTTTGTTGTTGTTTAACACAGATTCAGAAGAGCAAATATGCTTAATAGTTTAACTAGATTTCATTTGTCAGTGTGGGACTGCTGAGTCACCTGAAGAACTCATTTCATTCATTCTCCACATGATGTTCATTTACAGAAATGTTTCACAGGAACTGATTTCTCCCAAAGGGTGAACTAGTGTGTTTCCATAGATTACCTCTGTATGAATGTACTTCTTAAATGAAGGCAAGTGTTTGTCCTTTTTTGTTCCTCAGGTACAGTACGTGATATCAAGGGCAGGCGGTCATCACTGGGGGTAGACAAGAAGCAGACGTACTTCCAAGAGGGAGCTGCAGTGAGGTCAGAGGTCAGAATCTGAAACAGCTCAGGTTTATATTTTAGAGGTTATAAAAAATCAAAATGTATTATTTAAAGAAACCTTTAAATAATAGTCATAATTATGATTATTATAAGAAATATCAAACATTTAAGTGGATTTTCTGTTACACATATCGTGTTAGCCCTGCAATAAACTGGCAGCCTGTCTTTGTCCTGTATCAGCTGGGATAGGCTTCATCCTCCTGCAACCCTGAATTGGATACATTGTATTCCAATTATGTAATCTGATCATTTACAAACTCAAGGTATCTAATCAAAATGTAAGTGATGCCGCCCTTGACAGACAGGGAGATTTTATTCCTCAAAGACCATCATCCAGTCGAAGTACTAGTTGCCACGTGGTCAGTGTTCTCACAACCATTGATTTTATCTCACAACTTGTTTTCACCAAAGAATTTCAGTAAGTAAATATTCTTCAATCTCTTTTTCCCCCCAGTGTCTGCAGATCAGCATCAGTGTCCACGTGAAGAACCTAGTTATGTTGCCAGTGTCAACCCAACAAAAGGTACTTTACCTTCTTGTATATATTGTGATTCCTTTACTTTTATATTTGTTGTTATAGTTGAGTTAGGCAGGGCTTTTGCGCAGTCCTAAGAAACATACTGCCTAGAGTGTTTTTCACTTTGTGGAAGAGTTTCTTTATTTTTTTCTGTTAGTGTGTGGAACTGAGGTGCTTCGTCAGGAGCTCCTTCAGTTGTTGGAGGATGGAGAAGAGGACGCAGCCATGACTTGTGAGACGTTGTCTGAGTCAGCTGCTACTCACTGGGCGATCAGAAACATGGTGTCCTTGCTAAAGTGGAAAGAGGCCAGGCCTTGTCTTATAGACAATATGTTAGCTACTCTGGATCCACAGTCACACCGTGTGTGTCAGTGTGGCAAACAAGTAGTTGTGAGGTGTCTGGACTGCCTGCCTCTTCCATTCCTTTGTGCTGACTGTGATATTGCAGTTCACACACGCTTTGTCCTGCACAGCAGAGAGGCAGTAACAGGAGGGTTTTTGCAGCCTTCATCAGAGTTTCACAATCCAATATGTACGGTTTTTAAGTCTTATGCATTTATTGCTATGTACTATGAGTGTGTGCTGTTATTGTATATTTATTGTGTATCATTTAATTTCCAATTCTTTTTATATATATTGTGTGTTTTTAATGTTAGTTCGGCTGTTGCCTGTGCAAAGACCAGACTGTGTGTGACTGCCCAGCAGGTAACGTTGAGGTTTCACCCGGTGCAATTGTGGCTCTTGTAACCATAAATGGTAAGTTGCTCTTTTGTCACACACTACATACACAATAGATGTGTTTGCAGGTTTTATTGCAAATTGTACATTGCTACATTGTTTTGAATTACCCTCGGCCCGCAGTATATGTGGGCACCTGTCAAAGGTCATTTGGATTTACCAGACCGCTTTGAAAACAACATGGGAAAAAATGAATGTCTTTGTTGAGCCATGACTGGATTTCTCCTTATCCTTCCTAAAGGCCGTTATAACCTTGCACTGCCAGTGGTGAGCTGCACCAGCTGTGGCCTAATGTGGTCCCCCTCAGTTAAGGACTTCCAGGGTGGTGGATATTGGCCTGGCACCTTAAATTTCTGCACCCTGTTTTCAATGGATGTCTTTCAGTCTTTCTATGACATTAAGAAGCTGCAGCAGGGATGTCACTTAAGGCCTTTGTCAAAGTGCTGGATGAACGAACAGCCCATTTTGGAAGGGTGAGTTTCTAAATTTGTCAAGTTTAAGGAAATTGTGCAAATCAATGTTTATGATGACTGTCCGTGAATATTCTGTTGTTTGTCCTCTACTTAAAAGACTGGCCGAATATCAGCTGATGCCTTCAGCAAAAGTTTCTTGGAGTGGAGTGCTGTAAAGTGTGAGGTGGACAGGATGTGCAAGGAGCCATGCTTTAGCTGCCCTGCCTGCACTCCAGACATGCTCGCCGTCTCAGTTGATGGAAACTGCAAGCTTTATCGCTTTCAATCAAATGCAAGGTACGTTATGCATTGTGTACATGAATCAAATATGGATTTGTACAAAAATTGTATTTTGATGTTTCTTTTCAAACAACTGTCACCGTGTTCGTTCAGCACTTCAGAGCAGGGGAACTTTGAAGGTGTCTTCATTGAGAAAGATGAGGAAGTTGCTGAGTTTGTGAAATACATCCAGAGACACACAAATGATGTAAGATACACATATATATCAGTGCTGTCAGCGTTAATCTTGTTAAAATGACGTTAACGCCATAACCATATACTCATACGTGTGTGTGTGTGGATACATATTTGGATGGGTGGATATTTATTTTGTTTTTCTCTTGGTGTTGTCGTAATACTATTTACTTGACTTTATCTTAATGTGTACTTAATTTTGAGTAGCTCACACTTGGATGTGCGAGGTATACTGCAGCTTGTAGTCTTGGATACGTTTAAGACATTTTGTTATAAGGTTGAATGAATTCAGCAGTCATGTATTGTGACCTCCTTTCTATAGATCAAATGGGGAGGTGCGTTTCAGGATGGGGCCAGTTCTACAGTTGGAGAAGAGGTGGAACAAGTAAACAGTTTCCTGTCTAGGGCGGCCATCACAACGAAGTACATGTCTAAAGCAGGTGTGTGTCTGTGTGTGAGATTCCACTCAGTCTCCTGCTCATTCATTCTTATTTGTATACTAACTGAAATGCAGGGCGAACAGACATGCTGAGCCTCCTGGCTTTGGGCTGGAACAAAAGGAAAGTGGAACAACTGGGCCGCACTTTGAGCCAGAGATATCTAAAGGTCATTTTTTCAACACCCATTTTAATGTGTGTGGTAATGGGGGGGAAACACCAGTACTCTAAAAATGTCCATATGAATGACATTTATTAATGTATTCTTAGATCATAAGGATCCTTAGAGAACAAGTGGAGAGCCTGAATGCGAGCAGAAATGAGCTGGGTGTGGATGACGACACACTGCAGCAATGGGCTGAAGGTGAGTCTCAATATAATGCACTCGTGTATAACAACAGGACCCACCATGGCCTCATTAAAGAACTTAGAGTTAAGATCTTTCTGACAGTGTCAACAAACAATGAAAAATAAGCTTGTAAAAGCAGAATTGATGGCCGAGTTGTTGCGTTTGATCAAATTGGATTGGACCTGGGTTGAAGTGATGTCGTACTAGTTGGTTTTATAAAGCTGAACACCAACATACTTGTTATCTCATGATAATGCAGCACATGAAGGCTCCAGATGTCTTATAATGAATATCATCAAGTCAGTGATTACAGAGTCCACTGTAGTTTGGTGACTGTTACTCATCCTGTGTTCTGATTAATATTCCTCTCACTTAGAAAGTGATCAAACTGATGGCAGCCTTGGAGCGTTGCAGGCACGAGTAGAGCAGCTTGTCGTCATCATCACAGTGCGAACACAAAGTCTTTACAGACAAAATGGTGTCACAGTTTCTTTGAAACGGACCGTTTGATGCTCAGTTTGTACAGCTTGTACAGCTACTTTGTAAACAGAATAAAATCAGATCCAGGTTTGTTTAAGCTGGATGTGATTTGTTCTAGCAAACGAATTGATGAGTGTAGATTAAAATGTAAATATATGCATTATGTGAAGGTGTTCCTTTTTATGATTATTTACAGATAGCAACAAGAGGCGACACAGAATTCACAAGGTCATCTTAGATGAGAAGAAACGCTTGGCGGCTGCTGTTGACGACTACAACAAGGAAACAAGCAACAAAGCAAATCGTATCCAGTGATGCCCTCATGCAGAGCGACGTTTGGCCCTGGCAGAGCACAAGTGAACGTAAGCTCTTGATTTCTAAATATCCTTTTTAAACAAACTCCCAGTATCTGAGCAGCAGTTGAATGTTTTGTTCTTGAATCATAATATGCTGCTATGTTTTCCCATCTGATGTTGTTAAACTGCAGCTGCTGCTGACCTCCGGACAAAGAGAAAGGTCTTTGAGAAGGTGATGGCTGTGAGGCGCCTGAGAGAGAAGGAGATGATCCTTTGCAGGGAGATGCAGCATCACTGGACAGTGTTGCGAATGCGTTCTGTGGTGTTGGGGACAATCTCCTCAGACTGTAAGCACATCTTTTATTTATTTATACATTTGGTGATGAATTGATTGAAAATAATAGCAGATGCTAAAGTCTTACTGGATCTTTTACCTATATTTGGGTTGCTAGCTAACACTGGCTTCTCCCTTAAAAAAAGCTTAATTACATGATCCTAATTCCTTGTTTATGAGGTGAGTTTTGTTTGTTTGTTTTACTTATATTTAATAGTTTTGTTGTTTTTACAGCCTCCCTTGTTGGCATGTCGGAGGATGCACAGAAAGGACTCCATAGCCTGGTTTAAAAACAAAGTGAACTGAAAGCTGAAACGCTCAAAGTAAAGGACGTGTACAAGAGAATCCTCAGCCACCAACCACTCCTGGAAATGGACTCGGAGGAGGAGGAGGACGTTCCAGACGATGAGAGTGATTTGAGCACTTCTGATGAAGACTGATTGTGTCATCATTGATGTTATGTTTGCTAGAATAAAAAGTTAATCACATCTGTTTAATGTGATTTTCATAATGTCTGTTTCAGAAATTGCTTATCAACAGACATTTTACATGTTGAGAAGAAAAATGTAATTCCCTTGGTGCAGTTGTTTACCCTGAATCATTCTTTCCCATCTAATTTAATGACTCGTGTACATGTTCAGATACAATAACATCATTTAATTCATGGGATGCTTTCTGGGCTGCTCAAATTACCGCAAAATGTAAAAGCACCAGGCAGCACACTCACAAGGACATGTTTTGTTCAGTGTTTTGTTGAAGAAATCAACAAGTACAACTGAGATGTTTGCTGTAGTGGTGTGTTTGTTAAGAAGCATGCCAGCACACTGGTGAACTGACAGTCCCAGAATGCACCCGAGCCAGTGACTCGCCCCAGAACAAATGACATTAATTATCTAGAAAGACAACTGTGATCAAAGACTAAGTAAAAGAGTAGGAAACAAAAGATAAGGAAAGGTACTGTGGGGTAGGAAAGAAAGGCCAGAGCTGTGCAAAATGACCTCCAGCAGGCCACAAATATGCACGTCTGCTCAAACGGTCAGATACTGACTCCATGAGGGTGGTATGAGGGCTCGACGTCCACAGGTGGGGGTTGTGCTTACAGCCCAACACCGTGCAGGATGTTTGGCATTTGCCAGAGAACACCAAGCTTGGCAACTTTGCCACTGGCGCCCTGTGCTCTTCACAGATGAAAGCAAGTTCACACTAAGTACTTGTGACAGAGTCTGGAGACATATTGGAGAACCTTCTGCTGCCTGAAACATCCACCAGCATGATGGTTGGGCAGTGGGTGACTAATGGTGTGGGTGGCATTTCTTTGGGGGACCGCACAGCCCCCCGTGTGCTCGGCAGAGGTAGCCTGACTGCCATTAGGTGCTGAAATTAGATCCTCAGACCCCTTGTGAGACTAAATGCTGGTGCGGGTGGCCCCGGGTTCCTCCTAATGCAAGACAGCGCTAGACCTCATGTGGCTGGAGCGTGTCAGCAGTTCCTGCAAGACGAAGGCATTGATGCTGTGGACTGGCCCGCCCATTCCCCAGACCTGAATCCATTTGAGGACATCTGGGACATCACGTCTCACTCCATCCACCAACTGCACCACAGACTGTCCAGGAGTTGGCAGATGCTCTAGTCCTGGAGTCTGGGAGGAGATCCATCAGGAGACCATCTGCCACTTCATCAGGAGCATGCCCAGGGGTTGTAGTGAGGTCATACAGGCATGTGGAGGCCACACAGACTACAGAGCCTCATTTTGACGTGTTTTAAGGACATTACATCAAACCAGATGAATGATTCTGTATTGCACTGATCAAGGAACCAACCCAATAGGAGCTAAAGGCATCCTCTTCACATTACTTAACATAGTGAGTTTATACTATGTTTAATGTGCATTTTCTTCATCAGTCTAGAACATAACATGTTAGCGCTCCCTGGTCCTTTTTGGAGACAGATCCTGAGACAGCAGGCAGCTTTGGAGAACTCATGCCAGCTGTGGTCATTAAGGAAAACTTTGATTTAATATTGATTTCATGACAACTATCCTCAGGCACATATTCCTGGATATATACAATGACACGAGTAGACACTAACCCCCAGCAGTCTGGTGCTATGACAGCATATGAGAGCTAATATTTTGGCTATGGTGTCTTGTTATGAAATGTACAAGAGTAAGAGTGTTAGCATGTGTGTCAAAGCTACGTTTGACTGGGAAACTCAAAGCTCAATAACCTGTATCAACAACAATTCACTGCAGCCTGTGTAATATTTGATGCATCATAATTTATTCCAGTCTATCTTGCAAATACATGTTTGCGTTGCAATGTCATGCACAACACACACAACTATTAGAGCCTTAAGATCAAACCTGCGTCATTCTTTTGGTCCACTGCAGTGTAGCAGTCAAACAAGGAGAAGTGAAGTGGCCCCAAATGGCCAGGATAGAGATCAGAGGGTTAATGCGTAAAATGCATAAAAATATTATTGATTACAGGATAATACATTAATGTTAATATCAACAATAAGCTTTTTACTCTGAAGTTACAAGTATAAACAATGCTGTAACATTTACACTTACATTTTTTACTATAAGTATGGAAACAAGTGAACAGCATTTTATAATAAGTTTAACTGGAATTCTGTACACTGAAAAACAAACAACAGATAAAAAACACAAACAAACAGCCAGTGCCTTCATCTGTCCATTAAATGTCAAACATCGCTTTGACCTGTAGTCTCTGCTCGTCAGCACGTGCTTTTAAAAAGAGCTCCATGTCCTCTGCAAACTGAAAAACAAAGAGGAAGAAGTCCCTCTACACAAAAACACTGTGGATGACAGGCCAGGCAAACATCTATTGACCTGTTTGAATGCCTCTTCATCATGTGAGCCTTGAAGTTTTTTTGTAAGAAGACTAAGACCACAGTGAGGACGTTTCATTTCATGGACTTTCCACAAGCCCCAGTTTCATTTAGCACAGAGGGTGGAGCACATGAATGTTCTACCCAAGATTCAGGAAATGGTTTAGATGCTGGAGACGAGACATGGAGAGGGAGACGAGGCTCCACGGAGAGTTCAGTGGGGAGCAGTCCTGAATGCTGACATGACAATAATTGCCTTGCCATATCCCCACGCTGTATGACTGTCATGTTACAGAAGGGCAGTGAAAGTGCACCGGCACATCATTTTGTCTGTAAGAGAGAAAAAAAGAAAAAACATGTAATTTAAATGTAGTTGTATAGAATGCAGTCAGTTTATCTAACAATCAGATTGTACATATTAACAAAAATATCCAAGCCGTCCTCAATAATGAAAGCAAAATGGTGTGGATCACAAGAGCTGTCAGGAAATGTGGTGAACAGGAAAATATTTAATGAAAACACTTTTTTCTCTCGCTGATGAATGAACTGAACTGTACAATGTGAAAAATAACTTTTAAGTCAACAAAGACCTGCAGAGGTGCTGAAAAGAAGTGCATATTTATGACTTTAACTATGAGGTATATTTAATACCAACATACCTTTGAAAGGCAAAGCACTTTGAATGTGTCCATTTATATGCTGCTCAATCTTTGCCCTGACAGCAGGGCTGAGAGTGGGGCACAGAGGGCAGTGAAACAGCCAACACGTGGTGCATTCCTGCAACTCTGGCCTGGAGGCAGAACTCCAATTTGATATTTGCATCTAAAACAGAGAGAAAAACAGATAAACACCATATACACATTTAAGTTCAGGTTTTAGCAGAAATAACACATTACAGTTAGCATGTAAGAGATTTGGGAGAAAATTCTTTACAAAAACATAATTTACAAGAAACTTTTATTTGTGACATACGTATCTATTGACATATGAAAGACAATTGAACAAAGGCTAACTAACATCTGGGCAATAAAGCAGAATAAATAGAGAATATTAGTATTTATACATATATAAAACTCTCTGTGACGACCTTTACAATGTTTTTGCAGGTGGAATGAGAGATATGAATAAAGTGCAATATGCAGTAAATGGAACAATGTGCATTGATGTTACAGATCGTGAAAAGTAGTGAAGTGAATTTGTTCATAACAAGCAAAAATCAAATACGTTTGAAACTGACCACTAAATGCTAACCAGAGGTGTCAAAAGTGCACATTCTTACTAAAGTTTAGATGCCTCGGGGTCTGACCGTTGTTGTAGCGCTAACAAAGTGCCAACGTAATCAGTGTAAGCAAACTAGATGATTCCTACAATTATATAATTATTAACGGCAAATTTAGACATGAAAGACTCTGTAACAACCTTTACGATCCACTTGCAAGGTTTCCACAGTCGATGGCTGTATCCCAATTCAGGGTCTGCAGCATTAAAGTTCGCAGCCTCAACGGTCCATGAACTCTGAACATCTGAACTCTGAAGCATGAACTCTGTGTCAAAGATTCAAGTTGCAGTTATTTATATTTCCTATCACCTTAAATCTTCACTCAAAGACAATATCTGTGACAGTGTGTATATAGATGTATCATATATAAGAGAGAAATATTGTTCTTTTAATATGTTGGCATTACTAAATGTGGCTCAGTGCTTACATATATGTGTAAAAAGCAAATGTACGAGCTGTGATAACTGTGTCTGATAGAATGAAGAGTAGACTGATAAATGAAATATTCCTTTATTGGGTGAGAAAATCAGACCATGTCATAACTGCTTTAAGTCACACAGAATAGACATCAGAGCCTTAAACAGGCTGACTTCTGCTAAATGGGTCAAACTGGGCAGAAAGTCTACAAACACATAACATCCTTATAGAAAATGATGTAACACTATAGATCAACTTAGCTCAGAATATATAAAGCAAATAAACAATCACAGCAATATGATGCAACAAACACAGCAGTGCTACTGATCCAAAATACTCAAAGCTTCATAGAACTGAAACCAACATTTATTTTTAG